TTATATTAAAACATACTCTAGTCCGGTTTGGCTCAGTGGATAGAGCCTGGACCTGAGGACTGAAATATCCCGGGTTTGATTCTGGTCAAGGGCACATACATTGGTTGCAGGCTCCATCCCTGAGCCCATGTGTGGGAGACAACCAATCAATGTGTCTCTCTCACATCTCTCTCTCTCTCTCTCTCTCTCTCTCCCTCCTTCCCTTCCATTCTCTATAAAAACCAATGGAAAAATATCCTCAGGTGAGGATTAACAACAACAACAACAAATAAAGTCATTTCTTTAAAAAACACTCTGAAGCTATAGAAACTAAAACTGTATTAGGGAATGGACAAACTTATCAATGGATAGAATAGAAAGTCTAGAAATAGGTACAATCAATATGGGAATTTAATTAACGATACAGGGAGTCTTTCCAACCAGTGGGGAAACAAAGAATTATATAACAAATGGATTGAGACAACTGGATAACCATAGGAAGGGGAACTATATCTCATTCATTTTACCTAAATAAATAAATTGCAGCAGAATCAAAGTTTTAAACATCAAAAAATGAAGTGATAACTTTCTAAAAGAAAGCATAGCTATATATATAAAAGCCCAATCCGCTGTGTCCGACCGGTCGACCGGTCGCTATGACACACACTGACCACCAGGGGGAAGACGCTCCGACCAGTAGGTTAGCTTGCAGCTGAGGTCCAGCCGATCAACACTGGGCGAGAAGGCCAGACATGCCCTGGAGCCAACCTCCTATGGTCCCTCCCTGGCGTCTAAAATATTTCTTCTAATCAATTTCCTTTCAAATGTGTATGAATCTGTGCACTGGGCCTCTAGTATAATATAAAACTTATGTTGGGATGAGGCAGATTTTTCTAAGCAAATACAAAACCCAATAGATAAAAAGTTTTTTTAATATTTTAAAATGTTAAATTGTAAATTCCCAAGATTTAACCTTCATGTGTTTGGATTTGTACGTACTTCCTCCTTTGATCCATGCTTGCCTGACCTTCCTTTTTCCTTCTCTTAACTTCTCATTCCTCCTCCTCTCATTCCTGTAACCTGTTATCTCCACTCCTGGAAGGCAAATTGGGAAGCAGGTTTAACCATGTTTCATGAGGACCCCGACTCCCCAGTGCTCACAAATTTGTATTCTTTCAAATACTTCACAGATCTCCCAAACTCTGAAAATCTGAGTCAGCCTGAAAATATGTATCTAGCTAAGCCTTTTCTTTTCCATGAATGCTCTACGACTAGAGAATGATGAGAAAGAGAAAAGAGAATTAGGGGGATGATTTACTTTGTTTGTTTGTTTTTTGTTTTTTAAACTTCCTTCTCAAAGTCCTCGTTTAATTATTTGCATTCTCATTATTTATTAGAATTACTCCTTGATTATAATTTCTGATAAGATCATTGGTAAAATGTTCTCGTGGGGGCCAGGGTCCTCTCAAGAGTACACAGTCAGCCCACAGGCCTTAAATGGTAAAAACTCTCACATTTTATTCTTGAAAAAGACATTGAAAAAAGTTTCAACTCTGAGAACTTCAAACTATTTCTTTAATTGAGGGGACACCCTGTATGTTAAAGAAGCAGACCCTGAATCAACAGTTCCTCTCTCTTTGGGATGGAGAGGCCCCGGCTTGGCCAGTGGCTGGTAGTAATGTCTGGCTGACACCATCTAACATGTTTCTCTCTCTCCACCCCCCGCCACCCTCCTTTATCTCTCGGCAGCCTTCATATGCTGAGTTTGATATTAGTGGAAATGTGCTTGGTTTGATCTTCAACCAAGGCATGATCTGGTGAGTTACCCAGTTCATCTGGGGATCACCTCACTTGGGGAGTCAGAAAACTGGAATCTCAGGCTTAGCCTCTGAACTAGCTGGGAGAGGCTAGAGCTCCCCCCTTCCATGTGAAAAACAGGGGGCTGGACTAGGTGAGAACCAGCAGTGTCTGCCCACCCCTGTGCTCTGGTGGGCACAGTGAGGGAAGAAGAGAAGAGGTGGAGAGAGAAGGAAAACAGAAAGAAGAGGGGGGCAGGGGAAGGACAGCGGGAAGAAGGCAGAAAGGAAAAAGTGGGGAGGGGAGGGAAGTGAAAGGGAGGAAAGAAAGAAGGAGAGAAGGAGGGAGATAAATGAACTAAGGAACTTCTTCCTCTGAGGGAGTTAGAGGAGGTTGTATAACTTCAGCCAAAGACTTTCAAGATGCCAATGGCTCAGTGCAAGTCAATGTCCAATTCTCTTAATTTGAGAACTTTTCAAATACTTTTCTGAGCAGTAATGTTATTTTAGGGAGACCATGGAGAAACGGACGGGAGGCCATATAATTTGTTAGATGCCTGGTGCTGAGGCAATAATGCTCGGAGTGTCTCCTTCAGAGGAATGAATGGCTATGGTCTGGTGATAAATGTCCTGGTTAAATGGGGGGCCCCTTCCCTTGGGACCTGCAGAGAAGGCGAGGCCTCCTCCCCCTAACCCATCAATCCCATTTCCTTCTGTCACCTTCCCTGGCCTCTCCTGCTGCCAGGCCAACCTGGTGTGTGTTTCTGCCCCTCCAGGATGGGCTCCTTCTATGCTCCAGGACTGGTGGGCATCAACGTGCTGCGCCTGCTGACCTCCATGTACTTCCAGTGCTGGGCGGTGATGAGCAGTAACGTGCCCCACGAACGCGTGTTCAAAGCCTCCCGATCCAACAACTTCTACATGGGCCTCCTGCTGCTGGTGCTCTTCCTCAGCCTCCTGCCAGTGGCCTACACCATCATGTCCCTTCCGCCCTCCTTTGACTGCGGGCCATTCAGGTGCACAGCCTTGGTTGCATAAGAGAAGCTCCCCCGCCCCCAGGCAGTCTGCTCAGAAAGCAGTGGCTCAGAATTCCAGTTCTGGTGTCACATCGGCCTGCGGAAGGCCATGGAGCTTGGGGCAAATCATGAGTGCTGCTCAGCAGTTTTCTGCAGGATGGAAATGCCCTGTGTCTGCACGATCCAATAGGGCAGCCACCAGCCATGTGGCTGTTGAACACTTGAAATGAGGACCAAGACACTGACTTTCTAATTTGCTTTCATTTGAATTAATTTTAATAATAACCCCATATGGCTAATGGCTACCATATTGGACAGCACAGTTCTGACCTTTTAACATATGGATAAATAACGTAACAGGGATGGGGGTGGGGGTGAGGGGGGAGGCGGTATTCTGAAGATGAAATGACCATATACTGGTACAGTATTGACAAGCGCCATTCAAGGGTGAAGCAGCTACTGAGACTCTTGACTGGGAATCCATGTTTTGCAGAGCATTTGCCAGCACTGTGGGTTCAGGGTATATGTCAGACTAGTTTGGGAGACTGGACATTGAATAAAGAGATCAGTAATTATACAAGGAGGTACACTGAGAAATCTGTGCATCTACTGTTCTCTTTCCAAATGTGAGACCTTCTGGAAACAAAGCCCTTTCTCTACTCCATAAAAAGGAGTCTGTGGTTAAAGCCATTTGGAACATGCTGACTCTTCTATCTGCCACCTTCTCACTTAGAAATGCCTGATGCAGTTCCTTTATTAAAGGCTTGGAGGAATCATGCAATAAGATAAGATGTGCACCCTAATGTTTCTATCCTTTTTTTTAATTGATTTTTTACAGAGAGGAAGGGAGAGGGATAGAGAGTTAGAAACATCGATGAGAGAGAAACATCGATCAGCTGCCTCCTACACACCCCCACTGGGGATGTGCCCGCAACCAAGGTACATGCCCTTGACCAGAATCAAACCTGGGACCCTTCAGTCCGCAGGCCGACGCTCTATCCACTGAGCCAAACCAGTTAGGGCTAATGTTTCTATCCTTATTGGCCACAGACCCTTTCTTCATGTAACGCCCATCCAGGGCCGGGAGTAGGGTGAGGTGCCAACCCTGCATTTGCACGAGCCTCAGAGTGAATACCTCCTTAAATTGTGCACCCCAGAGCCTCACCCGCCTCACTCCAGTCCCTGCCCTGCCTACTAGTGTGGATCAACACACTTTGGGAAATGCTGCTCAGTTTATAAAGGACTTAGCTGGATACAGCCCTGTAGTTAGTGCCCCACAGTGAGTGTCATGGGAGCTCAAAGGAGAGAGGAGCAGGACTGCTCACAACAGACTATAATCTGGCTGACCAGAGGTTCAGACAGAAGGAAAGGGGGGCTGGATGTAGAGTAGACGGCCTGAATGCCAGGCCGAAGGAAGAACCACATGGCACAGGTGGTGGAAGCCGTCCTGAGCAAGGTTTGGAGGACTGGGCTCTGGGTGCAAATGCCAATGCCCCTTTGCTGAGGCTGCCCGCCTGTCCCCAGGCAGGAGGCCAGTGAATGGGCCTGTGCCAGGCCAGGCGCTCACCATCTGCCCCACCCCGCTTCATCTGCTACCCTGAGAGGCCCTGGCAGCCTCCACCCAGGTGGCGGGGGAAGGGACCTGAAAATGGAACTCAGCAGGAAACATGGTTGCCACCTCCTTCCTGTCACTCCTCTGATCAAAACCCATCAACGGTTGGAACATTCATCCCATAGATATTTTCAATGCTTCCTCTCACTTGCTTCAGGTCTTTATTCAAAGGTCATCTTTTCAGTGAGGCCTTTCCTGGAGACCCTAAGGAAAATGACACACACACACACACACACACACACACACACACACACACACACACACACCATTGTTTCTGCTTATTCTATCTCCTTACTAACATCTACATGCCATTCCTTCTGCCTATTTATCTAGTTTGTTGTCTGTCTCCTCCACCAGGACATAAGCTCCATGAGGGTGTGATTTTTGCTTCCTTTTTCACTGCTTTATACCCACTGTCTAGAAAAGAACACTGAGTCAATGCTTAAACTAGACCCTTCACTTCACAGAAATTCACTTTTACATGGAGGGACTCGGGGTTTAGATCAGATCCAGACAAGCAATATAAATAAATGAAATGGGCAGCATTGCACGGCATATAGTTAAAAATAGGGGTGGGTAAACTGTAGCCCATGGACCAAATCCAGACCACCAACCTGCTTTTATAAACACAGTTTTATTGGAACACAGCCACACCTGTTGGCTTGCATATACTCTACGGCTGCTTTCTCCATACCACAGCAGAAGTGAGTAATACCAACAGAGACCTTCTGGATCACAAAACCTAAAATCTTTATTATCTATCTCTTTTCAGAAAAGAATTGCCAGCCCTCTGATTTAGAACATAGATTCTAGAACCAGCTCTGTCAATTGCCAGCTGGGTCATCCTGAGCAAGTTTCTTAGCTCTCTATACCACAGGTTCATGCCTATAAGATGGAAGTAACAGTAGGGCCTACCTCATAGGGTTGTTTTGAGGATTTAGTGTGTTATTATTTGTAAAGTACTTAGAGGGGTGTACAAGTCTATAATAAGGCATATAAGCAAGTTTGTTAAGCCTGAGCCCTGACCAAGTTGGGGGTAGCTGGCACTCATCACAATGCTATGAGGTAAGAGGTATTATCTACACCAGGGATCAGCTAAGCTTTTCTGTAAAGAGCCTGATAGTAAAAAATCAAGAGGCACCATGAGGTCGCCCATCACGTCAGCCTTTAGAGAACTATTCCCATGCATGGGAAGCTGTGTCGGTCCCATAGCTATATTACAGGCAATGTTCTCCCATGAGAGTATAGGGGAAAGCCCATAAGATGTCAGACGCAGAAGGCCAGTGTAGTTTGAGAAGTTGTGAGCGCACTGACCTGGCTATAATCCTGAGACAAAAGGGCAGCCCCTTGGGGGGCATTTTTATTTGCAGTCCATTAGGGGCAGATCTGTGGTTCTTCCAGCTCAGTAGTGAGCGGCAGCTTTGGGAGGGGCGTGCACACAGTCGTGTGCTGTGTGAGCTTTGCAGCATGCTGTAATGTGTCCTCTTCTTCCCAGTGGGAAAAACAGAATGTATGACGTCATCCAAGAGACCGTTGAAAATGATTTTCCAACCTTCCTGGGCAAGATCTTTGCGTTCATCGCCAATCCAGGCCTGATCATTCCAGCCATCCTGCTGATGTTGTAAGTTAGCCAAGGCCCCTGGCTCTGCCTCATGGAAACCTCCCCTTCACAGTTGAAACTTCCTTAGCAGATCCTTCTTTCTAGACCTCGTCGTCTGGATGTCCCAGAAGCAGATCCTGAGACAAAGATTCAAATGCAAGTAGTTTTTTGGGGAAGAGAGTAGGGAAGACAAACAGAAGGGACAGGAAGCTGCTTTATTATCATTGGGATGATGTTAGTCCTGCTGGCGAATCCTGGAAAACAGTGTGCTTCAGAGTTACCCCACTGAAGGGCAGGGATCTGGGGCATTTGCACACCAGCTCCCATCAGTCACTGGTTGAATGCTGCTGGGAATCTAGGGAGGGGAGAGGCGTTGGTTCATTGCCCAGCAATACGGGCCAGCTATATTCCCAGGGAGAATGGTTTCTGTGCCGGGAGGCTGCAGGGGGAGCTCCAGGCACAGAGGTAAAGGTACTGGCAGCTGCAAGTTTTCAGGGAGCATATTGAAAGATAGGGGCCAAAGAATATGGGTGGGTGCTGACAGTGTCTGTAACACCCTCCTAAACATGTACTAGAAATACCAAAGACCTCTGGCTCTGAGTCGTTGAGAAACCTTAGGGACTGGTTCAGCCTGTCCCTGCAGGGCCCATGGGACTTCTCCACAGAGCATCCTGTGCCTAGAACATCATTCATCACTATCCCTCTCAAAGACTGAGAAACCCCTGAGGATGGTGGGTGGGTCTGAGGATGTCTGTATCTCCAACACCAGCCCCACACCTAGGGCATAGTAGGAAAACAATGAAAGCTTGTGGAAGGACCAGGGAAGGAAGGAAAAAGAAGACAGGAAGCTAGAGCCCTGAATTTGAATTACCTCATCAAAAATATACTAGAGAAAATATTAGGTTTTTTTTTTATAAATATCTATTTTTGGCATGTGTTTTTTAAAATTATGAAGTATTCCTAACATACAGAAAAGTACAACCATGTACGAGATCACAAATTTAGATGTTCACATCTAGCAATATTTGCTTCAGATCTGTCTCTTTGAGAGAAGCAAAATGTTACAGATACACTTCAAGCTCTCCCCAATCCTTTTCTCTTCCTCCCTCTCCAAAGGTAACCGCTATTTTAATTAGCTTTAATCATTCTCATACTTATTTTGGTACTTTCATCATGTGTGTATGTACTATTGTTTTCTGAGTTTAAAATGTTTTCATGAATGGTCATACTACATAGCTTTCTTCACTCAACATTATGTTTAGAAGATTTATCCATGTAGATACATGAGCATAGATTTTAATATCGTTATATGTTCCATTGCATGAATGAATGGACCAGTTTATTCATTTCTCTGCATAGACATAGTTAGGTTGTTTCTACATTTTTGCTCTTGCAAATGTGCTCCTGGTACATATATGTCTCCATGTGAGAGTTTCTCTAAGGTAGACCTCTTGGAGTGGAACTGTTGGGTCATAGGTATGTGTTTCTTTATTCTCTTTAGATAGTGTTAAACTGCTCTCCAAAATAGGTGTATTTCCTTACGTCTCAATTCCAAACATCTGCTCTAGTCCTGGCATGTGAGAGGGCTGACATGTTATAACAACCTGGACCCCCTGAGAAGATTCTGGAACCCAGACACCAAACCTGACCTTTGCAGGCAACTTCAGGGGGAACACAGTCACCCATAAACACTTTATCCTCTCTGACCTCCAGCTCCTCCCTAATAAATGGGTTGTTAATTAGGAGAAAGGGCAAGTCCTGGTGCAGAGAAACTGCCAAAACAGAGAGTGGTCCCTTTACCCATCCTCCCTTCTCTATGGAGAGAGCTTGGAGATTCTACTAAAGTGGCAGTGGCAGCCCACAGGGGAAGGTTGGGGAGTAGCTAAGGCTTCAAGTTCAAGGAGAAAAGTGACAATTAGGATGAACCTACAAAGCTCTCAGTTAACAGGCTGGCTGAGCACCCAGCCCAAGTGGCCTCTCTGTTCTCAGGAGGTACAGTCCAGGTCATAGCCCCCAGCAGGTCCTGTGAAAGGGAAGCCCAGGTTCTAACCTTGAAGGACACCCAGTCCTGAAGTCAGCCAGTGGGAGCCTGATGCTGAAAACCAGCAACTCAGGAAAGAAATTCCATCTGTGCAACTGAGCGGGGGACCTCCAGGGCACTGAAGTTCTGTTTCTAGGCAAACTTGGAGCAGGTACTTAGCAGCTCTGCCTCTCTCCATACTTGACGACTGTGAAAAGAGTTTTGGCTTCAAATGTTGCTCTGAGGAGCACTAATAGATGACCTGGCCTTGGGCAAATTACTTAACCGTTCTGAATCCCAGGATACTGATATGTAAAGATGGGAACCATCATTTCTACTTCATGGAGTTTCATCAAAACCAGTGGGGGTGGGACGCACATGGCACAGAGCCTGGCACCGGGCAGTGCCCAGGAAACACAAGCAGCTTCTTTCCCAGACAGGAAACCCCGCTACTCCCCGACCCCTTCAGATTTCCATAAGAGGGATGATTCCGTTAGCCGCCTTTTACTGAGCACTCTGAGAGGTAGAAATGTGTAGGTCATTTCCACGTTCCATCAGATAGAGAGAGCAGGGATGTCCATGTTAAGTGGAGGATTTAGGATGGTAGGCCTCTCTCCACTCTGCCCAGGGGCAAAGCCTTGGCACCGATTGCAAGAAGCCTGCCCTGATTTCTGGGAAAGGCATCCAGCTCTTGTCACTTTCCAAGGTCGCCGTACCATGGGAGGCATGCTTTTCTCTTACAGCCTGGCCATCTACTACCTGAACTCAGTTTCCAAAACCCTTTCCCGCGCTAATGCCCAGCTGAGGAAGAAAATCCAAGCGGTGAGTCTGCCGAGAGTTTCATTACTCTGCCGAGAGTTTCATCCTGGAAGGTAAAATGATGCCATGTTTTTGTGTTTTGCTGATTTGCTCTGTGAGCCCAGTTGTGTGCTCTAAATGGCTTTCTTCTGAACCAGCGCCAAAAATATATGTATGACAGGTAGCAGCCTGTGAGATTCGACAGCATGCATTTACAGCCTCGGGCTATGTGGGTGTCCATAGCAATACTTACTTACATTTTAAGAGGTTGCTGAAGAACAGGATAAATTCAATGAATTCAACCAATGTTCACACATCGTAAAACCAGTACTCACGATAATTCCCATAGATTAAAACTAATACTATAAATACTAAAGAAAACAGTGTTGTCAAAACCACATATTGCTTGTGGCCCGTGGCCTACGAGGTCTTGGAAGTTCCCTCCAAGCGCAGGCAGCCCCTCTCAACATTAGCTAGCTTCAGACTGCTCTCTTCCAGTCTCCCAGCTCCCCCACCCTCACCTCCTACATATGTAAAGCCTCCCTAGGCCTTGTCCTCCTTACTTCCTCGATGCCTCTACCAGAACGAATCTCATCTGCTTCACAGCCAGTTCCCCATCCCCATCCCCATTTCCTTAATCCTACTGGTCTCTTGCCCAGATAAAGAAAACCATTGATCTAAGATTGGAGGGCTTCCAGCCTGCAAGGCCAGGTGCACCTTCAAACGCTGTGCAAACCTGAGCTCTGCTGCCCCCTGCAGTCGAACCCGCAACCCGGGCATGTGCCCTTGACCAGATTTAAGGTAGTTCCCAAGAACTGAAGATGGAGTCTTTGCCATCTAGATCTCACCATCCTGAGCTCAAACACCCATTTCCCGGGCCAAGACCAACCATTAATATTTTCCTGCAGCTCCGTGAAGTTGAGAAGAGCCACAAATCTGTCAAAGGCAGAGCCACAGCCAGAGATTCCGAGGACACAGCTAAAGGCAGCTCCAAAAATGCCACCAAAGCAGGTAAATTCCATGTCATGATTACTTTTTACAAGGCCACATAGAAAGGTGTAAAGAGCATATGTGGTGAAATCAGATCTGGGATTGAAATCAGGATTCGGGTGATTATTAGCTGTACGAAGTTGGGTCAGTGAAAATAAGAATGAATGATAGCCCTAGCCGGTTTGGCTCAGTGGATAGAGCGTTGGCCTGCGGACTGAAGGGTCCCAGGTTCGATTCTGGTCAAGGGTACATGCCTGGGTTGCGGGTTCAATCCCCAGTGGGGGCGGGGGTGCAGGAGGCAGCCAATCGGTGATTCTCTCTCATCACTGATGTTTTTATCTCTCTCTCCCTCTCCCTTCCTCTCTGAAATCAATAAAAATATATGTATTTTTAAAAAGAATGAATTATAGTGCCGACCTCATGCAGCGGTGAAAATGAGATGGATCATGTGTTAAAGTGCTTTACAGAATTCCTGGCACAGAGAAAGGACCGATGAAACAAGCTGCCTCTGTAACATGGGGAAATAGCACTGCTTGTCTTGCAGGGCTGCCTCACTCATTTCTACCCTCCAAGTCTTCTGTGGTGACTTTTCTTCTTTCTGTTCCTCGTAATTTAGTTGTTTCAGAAATGATTTTGTCTTCTTCACTTTCTCTCCTGAGCCTGTTAGTTCCCTTCTAATGTCTGGCTACTTAACCCAACAATGAGAACTATTGGTCCCACCACACCCCTTTAAGATGCTCAAAGTGTCAGCTGACATGGGTCACAGCTGCCCGGGGATGGGGGAGGTATTTGTTTTCTATGTTCTTTTGAATGATTTCTTTGGAAGACATATAGGGAGATTTGCACCTAGCAGCTGCTACATGTTTGTATTATCTTTAAAAAAAAAACACTAGAATATCTAGAATAAAAGGATAAGAAACAGCCACATATGTTCCAAAGTGTCACAGGGCTTCTGAGGAGACTAATCAAAAGCCATCTCCACCTTGGGAGTAAGAAAAGGTCAAGTTAAAAGAGACCATCTCTGAGGTGATCCCATTTTCCAAGGATTGTCCCTGTTTTAAAATTAAACAGTGCCAGTATGCTGTGATTTGGGCCTTTGGTGTGAGAATTGAACAAGATACACAAGAGATGACTGCTAGTTTATGAGCTATAATTTTTAGTGCAGAAATTACTTGATACTTTTAGAACATGTAGGCAAGACTATCAGAAAAAGAAACAAGAATTTAAGCATATAACAGTATTGCCCTGCAATATGAAAATCCTCCATCAGTTTATTTTCAATTCTCCAGATCCACTAGTCAGGAGAAATAGGGCACCCATGTACATCCCTAGCAAACATTTTGTTGATATTAGAATAATAATGCCCTGGCTGGTGAGGCTCAGTTGAGTGTCATCCCATGCACTGAAGGGCCACTGGTTTGATTCCCGGTCAGGGCACATACCAGGTTGTGGATTCTCTTTCTCCCTCTCCATTCCTCTCTAAGAGCAATTAAAAATATATACTTTTTTTTAAATGAGTAGTAACAAGTATTCTAGTACTGAGTGTTGACACTGGAATGGGACAAGTTACTACTGAATAGTAAAAAGTCACAAGTAAACAAGTGGATGTTGCAAAAAGAGGACAAGTGGATGTGTCAAAATAGGACCTATCCCTGGTGATTCTCCCAACATGTGTGGAGCTACAGGCCTCCTCCATAAGATCGACCAGCAGCCCATCGGGGGCCTCACGGACTGGTTCGTGGCATGCAGGACACTGACTGACTGGCAGCTTATTATAGGAAAATATGAGGAAAATATCTGGAATCCCCTAACTTTTCCACACAGGTCAGAAAATGGAGCAAATGCAATACTATGTTGTAATATCACCAACAAAACAAAAAATGCAATGGATGTATTTGGACACTGATAGACTTAAGTATGGAAGGAAAAATAGGTGTGCACAATGTTTTCCCTGAGAAGCCAAGACACCTACACTGGTTTGTCAGTTGTCACATGTCCCCAGAATCCCCACGTGCCTGTCCTCCTGACCCACTGCTTTCCCCTCCTTTCTCTACTGGCTGCTGTTGTAAAGCTTGCCCTTCTTCAAATTTTAATTCTTATTACAGATCTAAAGCTCGTTTAATTTAATATTGACTAAATCAGTACTGCAGTTTTTGCTTTTGTTAGAAAAAAAAAAAAGAATTATCTGAATATACCCATGGGAGCTTAGGAAAGATGGTCAACCTTTAGTCTGGAAAATTCCAATAGTCTCATTGCTGCCCTCACTTAGCTTCTCTTCTTGAAGTATTCACCAGAATGATCTTAGCTGTTGTAACAACCAGGCCCCAAACAGCAAATGGCTCAAACACAATAAAAGTTTACTTCTCGCTCAAAATAATGTCCAAATTGGGTATTTAGATTTGATGGCCACTTTCTTCCCAAGTGATGATGCAGGGACTCTGGCTCCTTCCATCCTGTGCCTCTGCCTGCCTCCAGCCAGTGCAAAGGGAAGAGCCTAGAACACGCGCCTGGAAGTGGCCCACATCAAAGCCTAGAGTTCAGTCAAGGCCATGCCCATCCATAATGGAAACTTAGTCCATTTCTGTGTCCCAGAAACTGGGTCTGGTGAAGAACAATCCAGTAACTGCCCCTAACTTGGAGTTACTAAGGGAAGGAAACAAGTATGTGAAAGAACTGGAAACTGGATTTAATTCCAGTTCACACAGCCCCTTCCATCATCATATTTGACCCTGGCAGCCACCTGAGAGCTGCTGTCCCAATTTTATACTCAAGAAAACCAGGTCCAGAGAGTCTAGCCTAGGGCCAGCATTCAAATTCTAGTCCTCCAGCCAGCAGATCGTATTCCTCCAGCAGATCTGTTCATGCAAAGGCTAGGCCAAGGTGTCCCCAGAGGCCTGAGGGTGAGCTGACCTTTCTCAAATCACCTTTAGACTGAAATCTACATACAGAGCAGGACAGCTCCAGGGGGCTCCATTCCATACAAAAAAACAAACAAACAAACAAACAAAAACATGTAGCAAAATCTCTCATATCCTCATTCTTGTCTTGGTTCTTTTTCCAGGGACCATGCCTCACTCTGCCAGCCAAAGCCAGACCCTGGGCAAGAAGGCGCAGGGCCCTGGGACCTCCAGTTCTGCCAGTGGGACCATGCTGCCTGCCTCCAGTCACCTCCCTATATCTCGGCCTGCTGGCATCAGACCAGATCCTGGCCACGCCGGGCCTCAGACTCATCCTGGGAGGTCAGCCTCTAGAAAGAGTGCTCAGAGACCTCCCCACTGACAGCAGGGACTCAGAGGAGCCCCTTCCTGGGGCTGAACCTTGAGCCCCACCAGCTCACATGCCCAAATCGGTGTTTTCTCTCCTCTCTCACACACGTTCTCTCTCCTCTTATTGAATGTGGGGATTTTGATTACTTAATCTCAGGCCATGGCTTCCTGTCTCCCCATAATTATCCTTCCCAGTATCTTGGTGCAGGTAGCTCTGGACCTTGCACACTCATGGTGCCTTCCCTTGGCTCCAGGCTTTGGGAGAAGGGGGCAGAGCTGCGACCACCATCATAGACTTTACTCACGGCACCCACGTTGGGACACAGGTTTCTACCAGCTCCACCAACTGGGAGGAGGGTGCACAGAGGCCATATCCTGACCATCATCTCTATACAAAGGAGGTGAGATGGTTAGAATAAAAGGTACAAGAAGCTAATGAAAATAAAACTAAATGGACCCAAGTCCAGCCATGGTGAGTGGGAAGGTGCTGACTCAGAACCCAGTCTGAGGGGGAGCCGATGCCATGAAGCACCAGAAATGCACTGGAGCCTCCTAGAAGCAAGGCAATGAGGGAGTAACATAGTCCTTCTTATCTAATTGAAGGAAACTTAAGATTGCTCAGGGCAGAAAATCTTCCTCATGCACCAAATTATAAAAGGAATGTGATAGCCTGTTTATTGTATAGGAGAAGCTGAAGATGATCTCTGGGGCGTTTTGCAAAGGGTGCAATGCAGAGCCTTGCCTTGACCATCGTGTTCACGCAGGGGTGGGGAACGTTTTTTCTGCCCAGGGCCATTTGGATATTTATAACATCATTCGAGGGCCATACAAAACCATCAGCTTTAAAAGTAGCCTGCTGTATTTGGGCAGACATTTCATTAACTCACCTCTAATGCCTTGGCAGGGCCAGACTAAATGATTATGTGGCCTTACATGGCCTGAAGGCTGAATGATCCCCACTCTTGACTAGTGTCACAGGGTTCTATGCAAAATGTCTCCAGGCAGCATAAGCCAGGAGGCCAGGCCATTGAGAAGGTATTGCCAGCAAGGGCAAAGGCTCAGCACAGTCACAATCCAAGACTCTTCAGTAGCCAGGTATCTTGCTGGCTGTTCCCTTCTTTCTTCTACCTGGTGCCCCAAAACCCAGGTGAGCATGTGGCTTCAAGATCAAGGGACACTCTCACTCCATGTCTCTGCACATCCTAAAAGTAGTCCTGTCCCTCAACCACCACCCAATCGAGTCCCCAGAGATTCTCAGGAGAATCCCCACACCCTGGAAGTCCGGCAAAGTCCTGATGGAGATTTCATAAGCCATACAATTCAAATAATTTCCAACTTCCTTCCCTTTCCCAGCCCAGCTCCAAAACGTCACACACAACCTGGGATGGAGAGAGATAAACTATAAATTATTTCTCCCAAGTTCATCTCCAGGCAAGACTAAATAAGATATGGCTGATGCCCCATCTTCCTGGAACCGAGATCCAACCCCCCAATCCAAAAATGTTTGTGCATCATACTCCTTCTGGAGAATGCACCCCGGTTTCAAACTAACCTACCTGAGACCTCAACATAAGAATTAACGGAATCTAATCCAACCATCAGGACTGCAAGACCCAACATTGGCCACCACGCTGATACCTGGCCTTCAAGTCATCCTGCCTGGGGATAATGCCAGCCCCTGGGGAAGGGAACAAGAGAGGCCTCAGTCATCACTCCTGGCAGTGACTACTGTCAGGCTTCTAATGGCTACCAATATACCTAAACACCCACCATAAACACAAACAAATTATCCTGTTCTGGTGATGCATAATTTTATGTGAGGGAATACTTGCTTTATATTGCTGTACAACAAATTGTCCCCCCAAATTTAAGAGCTTAAAACAATAAACATTTATTATCTCTTACAGTTTCCTGTGGATCAAGAATTTGGGAATGATAATAATATTGTAATAACAATGTAGGGTTTCAGCTAGGTACTTGAATGATTGGGAGAATCACTTCATAAATTATAGAATTGTCTAACCACTATGCTGTACACCTGAAACTAATATAAAATAATGCTGAATGTCAACTGTAACTGAAAAATAAAATAAAAATAATTAGGAGTGGCTTACCTGGGCAGCTATGGTTCTGGATATTGCAGTCAAGATCTCAGACAGGGCTGTAGCCACTGGAAGACTTGACTGGGGCTGGAAGATATGTTCACAAGACGGCACACACACATGGCTGTTGGCAAGAGGCTTTGGTTCCCTGCTGCAATTAACAGGAAACTTTGATTACTCCCCACATGGACCCCACATGGACCTCTCCATAGGGCTGATGGGGTATCTTCACAACATAGCAGCTGGTTCCCCCCAGAGCAAGTAATCTGAGAGGGCAAGGGGGGAGCCACAACACCTCTATAGTAGCCGTGGGCAAACTACGGCCCACGGGCGGGATCCAGCCCGTTTGAAATGAATAAAACTAAAAAAAAAAAAAGACCGTACCCTTTTATGTAATGATGTTTACTTTGAATTTATATTAGTTCACACAAACACTCCATCCATGCTTTTGTTCCGGCCCTCCGGTCCAGTTTAAGAACCCATTGTGGCCCTCGAGTCAAAAAGTTTGCCCACCCCTGCTCTATAACCTACTTTCAGAAATTACACCGACAATTCTACCACTTTCTACTCATTAGAACTAAATCAGCAAGTCTAGCCCACACTCAAAGATTAGGCTGCATCTCTTGAAGGGGGTGGTTAACAAAGAATTTTTTAACGTATTTTAACAGGAGGTTTCCTAATTCAAATAGTTACAAGAGCTCTACCAAGAAAACTCTAAAGGTTTTTTGAAAGACATCCATCAGAGGATGAGTTCATGGTGGCTCCTGGGACTCTCAAGCAACAGGACACTTCCAGTGAGCGAGGGAGATGGGCAGAGGAAGAAGGCACAGGTGAGAGAGGTAGGGTGTTGAAGTGGTGTGGCTTTACAGGTAGGACATGTTATTAGAGAACAGTCTAGATTATCATCTCTCTATTCTCGGGTTCGAGTTTCCAGTTCATTCCATCTTAAAACTTTACTATGCAGCCTGTCCAGAGACCATCCAGCATGAAGACCATCTCTCTTCCTCCATCCTTCCTTTCTTCCCTCTTTCCTTTCTCCCTCTCTTCCACCCCTTCCTTCTCTCTTTCGGTCACCTAAGAGTGATCTGAATTAGCAGGTCCACTTAACAATTTACCCAGAGAATTATACCTAGTGTCTCAGTGACATTACCCTAGATTGTCTGTGTATTCCTTACTGGGGAAAAATGAAACAGACACTGAATTTTATCTGTCAGAAGCTATTTTTACAGACAGACCCTTTCTTTCTAATAACCTACATGCTCAATGTCCATAAAGAGCTCCATTGCACACAGAACCACATAAGTAGGAACACACTTTTGGTGAAGATCAAGTTGGGCACCTCATTTTCCCAGGACTTGCACCCTCACAGAAACTGGGGAGTGATGTGCCAGCCAGCGAGAGGACCTGAGCAGGGTGCCAACAGCAGCCACTACACTGGGCATCCTCAGTTCAGCAAAGTCATTTCCAATGTGCTCTGTAGCGCCCCGCCCTAAGCTGCGGCACCGAAGTCCCTCAGGCTCTGTAAGGAGCAGTAAGAAATAAACCTGCATGCATAAAGGAACACTTATTTCTCTTGATCTTGGTACGAGTAGAGGAGAAAGGTCTCCCTTGAAAATTTATATTAACAAGGCAGTCCTCACACAAAGAATCTAAATTCCCATACCAACTGTGTGTTCCAAAAAACTCAAATGGAAAATTTTAAAATGATCTTGGGTTAATTGTACCTCCAAGAAAGGGGAGTGGAGGGGGGGGGGGTGCGGGGGGGCGGGGAGGAAGGCAAAGAAACAACAAAAATTACACCAAATAGAAAGCATATAAGGGGATTTAAAACACTAGTATATCAGGAATCAAAATAAATGCTGTCCAGCTGGTGTGGCTCAGCAGTTGGGCAGCTACCCAGGAACCAAGAGGTCACTGGTTCAATTCCCAATCACGGCACATGCCTGGGTTGCAGGCTTGATCCCCAGTGGAGGCCCTGCAGGAGGCAACCGATGTTTCTATCTCTCTCCCTCCTCTCTCTCTAAAAATCAGTAAAAATCAAATAAATGCTCATGCAATAAACCTCCAGATAAAAGACAAAGATTATCAAATGGATATTTTTAAATCCCATGTGTTGTTTCCACGTGATACCTTTAAAACCTAAGACTAGAGCAAGTAAGCACTTTGTCCCTTTTGGTTCCTAGGGAACAAAAACAAATACAATCTTTAAGGGCAAAATCACCAGGTACATGAGTACCAACCGACTCTGTAAACTGGGCTGTTTTTGAGTGCTGAGGCTTTCTATTGGAGACAGCCGTCTGCAGTACTATACCAGACAATTTATTCTTCAGTGTGGCATTAGTTTGAAAAATGTAAAGAGAGACCCAATCTCATGGTTGGGGCACCTGAGGTAAATACACATACAGATATCTCCATCACCAAGTCATATCCAGAATAAGGGCCATATAAACCCAACCTCCAAATTCTGTTGGAGATTCAACCAGTTGACACCTGTAAAACTAAGCGCCAAGTATTATGCTAAGTGATCAATAAATAACAAATATTATCACAGGTGTGGATAAGATCAACTATCCTCAGACTCAGGCTATGAACACAAACAGCATCAACTGAACAAAACTTTTACCCTGTAATTCTTTTTTTATGTATTTTTTTTTATTTTTTATTGTTGATAGTATTACAGATATCTTCCATTCCTCCCCCCTCCTTTATACCCTATAATTCTAATCAACGCTGAGCTTCAGAAGCTATAGCCAAAAAGAAAAGGAACCCTGGGCTAGATGGTCTTCCTTCGATGCCTTTCATTCTTCTGTGTCCATGGAAATAATGTTGTGGCCCAGCCATGTGGCTCAGCTGCTGAACCAGGAGGTCATGGTTCCATTCGGTCAGGCCAGGAGGCAGCCAATCAATGATTCTCTCTCATCATTGATGTTTCTCTCTCTCTCTCCCTCCCTGAAATCAATAAAAATATATTAAAAAAATAAATGTTGCATATATGGGTAACTCATTATCAAAGACTTTTGCAAGGTTTCTTTTCACATTAGAAAAAAGGGCAAACGAATTAATTGCTAGAAACCTTTTAACTGTCTCATTCACAAAATGTGTAAACTGCCGCCATCTTGTGGTTATTTCATGCAATTTCCTTTCTTAAAGGAATTTTTTTTTTTTTTTAGAGAAACATTGATTTGTTGTTCCACTTTTTCATTGGTTGACTCTTGTATGTGCCCTGACCAGGGATTGAACCCAAAACCCTGGCCTACCAGGACAACTGAGCCACCAGGCCTGAAACTAGTCACTGGAATTTAAAGTCATCCTCGGTTTAACCACAAGGATAGTTCTGAAAAGTGCATTGGTAGGCAATTTTGTCATTGTGAGAACGTTAGTGTACTTAACACAAGCCTAGATGGTATAACCTACTACACACCTAGGCTATATGGTATACCACTGTCATATATAGGTCAGTCCTTATGTGGCACTTGACGATAGCACCTTCCATTTCCATAGGTCCCCGTTAGCATTGCCCATGGCTCAAATAAAAACTCTGGGTTAATTTATACCAAAATAACACAGTGAGCCACAGACTAGGCTAAGTAAAAGCATCATGGATGCTACAGTATCTGACCCTTCCCCATGGGTGCACAGTCCTATCTACACAGAGAAAGAAAAGGCCCCGGGTGCCTCATGGCTTTAAAGCTTGAGTCTGGAACATGCCTGGAAACCCACAGCTCCCCCTCAGACCTGCTGCCCGTGAAGGACATTTTCTCAGCTGGAACTCACCTCCAAATTAATCTCCAACCAAACACTGTTTAGTGAAGAGTAAGAGCCTCATCAGATCAAGCAATTCATCCTGCCTTCACGTAAGGCTTGTTTTAGATTCTACACTAGATCCTTCCGTCCTTCTCCAACTACTGACCAGGATGACGCTTACACCTTTAGCAGGTTCTTCTCTTGTTTCTGGCTTTTGCTTCCACTCTCTTTCTTTCACCTCTTAACAACCTACACATTCTTCTATTATTACCTAAAACCCCTTCTGGCCATAAAGTCTTCCTCGGGAGCACTGGCCCTCACCGCCACCACCAAATTATCTTCTGCTCTGCCTCCCATACGACCTCATTTCAGCACTTTGTTCTGTTCATTCTTCCAGGATTATAAAGTCTCTAAAGTCAGGAGTCAAGGGTTATGTTTTTATTTTTCTCCGAGATCTCTGCATTACTTTCTTAAGATCTCTGTCCAAATGCCACCTCATCACTGAGGGCCTCTATGAAACAATGCAACATTCCTTAACATTTATCAACATATTTACTTCATTTTTCATCTCCCCATAGAATGTAAACTCCATGATGGTACTGACTTGGTTTGCTTACTACTGTATCCATGCACCTAGAAACACCTGGCACGCAATACGCATTTGAACTGGTGAATTGGCCCTCCCAAATGTGGATGGGTATCATCTGATCCTTCGAGTGCCAGAAAAAAACAAAAGGTGAAGGAAATAGAAATTAGTTCTATCTCTGCTTGAGATTTCGTCGTCTCCTCCCCTTGCACATCCGTGCTCCTGGTCCTCATGCTTTGACTCAGAGGCAGATTTATTTATCCAAAATGTGTTAGCTTTCAGCTTAGTTACTCTCAGTCTAATCCACAGAAATTATACATATTTGTGTGTGCACATGTATTTCTATATGTACACATATACTATGTATATGTTTACGAGGGTATACGTATTTGTATACAGATGTATGTTTAGCTGAGACAAGTTCTACAAATCAATACCCCTTCCCTTACTCTCTGTGACGTATTACTATTTTCTATTCTCTTTCATCCTTTCTTTTTAATGCTGGTCAAGAATGTAAACCCTGCAATCCATTAATGGATTCTGACTTCTTTGAAAGCCCCTACCTTAGCAGATAAGCACTTGTAACTCCAGGAATATTTAGGATTAACTACAGAAATAATGACGTAAAACAAAGTCATAGCATTAATATTCTCCATTACATTTTGAAACCATCTATTTAATTTGGTATTTATAACGTTTAAGAGAATTTAATATTAGTATAGATTAATTTTGCAATTCCATTTTAAAATGTGAAGTGGAATAACTGATTTAGGCCAATAATTTTAAGTGGATATATGTAACAGAATTTAATGTTTGCAAGCAATATTGAGATTTTAATATTTACCATCCATATTTTTAAGTTTAATATATTTGGCTTTAAGAGTGAGCTTGGGCCCAGTGGTTGAACTTAGACCTATGAACCAGAAGATCAGGGTTCAATTCTGGGTTGTGGGCTCCCTCTCTGAAATCAATAAATATATATATATATATATATATATATATATATTTTTTTTTTTTTTTTTTAATGTGGCAACTGACCAATGTTTGGGGGGGGGGGGGGTGAGCTCAGTAATTGGATTTTGTCAAGTAACTTAAATGCTTAAGAAAATAAAATATATTAAATTTATAAATGTACTTTTGTATGGGAATTTGTTATTTAAAAAAAAAAACCTTTAGCCCTGGCTGGTTTGGGTCAGTGGACAGAGCATCACCTGGGGACTGAAGGATCCAGGTTCGATTCCGGTCAAGGAAACATGCCGGGGTTGCGAGCTCCATCCCCAGTAGGGAGGCTGTAGGAGGTAGCCGATCCATGATTCTCTCTCCCTCTCTGAAATATATTTTTTTTTAAGTTTAAAAACAAACAGATCCCTTTAACCCGGTGGGCGTGGCTCAGTGGTTGAGCCTTGGCCTATGCACCAGGAAGGAGGTCCCGGTTTGATTCCTCCCTTGGGGCACCATGCTGGGGTGGTGGGCTCTGGGGCGTGCAGGAGGCAGCCAATCAATGATTCTTTCTCGTCAGAGATGTTTCTATCTCTCTCCCTCTCCCTTCTTCTCTGAAATCAATAAAAATAATAATAATTTCTAAAAAAAGACTTAAGGGCCCTTCAACAGGGCAACACGTGTTCGCGCAAAAGGTGTGCTCTGCTCCAGAGGAACAAGAACCGACCTAGAAAAAGGTGGGATCGTCTTTCTCTTCTACTGTATCGCCTGCCACCCTCGTTTTTTAAAAGAGAAATACACAAAATATTACTTAAAGGCATAAAACCAGGAGTGTCGTTTCCTTAGGGTCTGCGCCAGAATGCCCCAGGCCCCCTTCCGTTCCGGTGAAGAACGGGAGCGCGGCCCCCGGGCCTCCTGGGAGGGTGGGCCCTTAGGGGAGGCAGGATGAAGGGGTCCAGAAGGGCGTGGGGCGCAGGGAGGCGTCTGGGGCCCGAGGTCACCTGCGCTGCGGAAAGCGAGCTCGGCATCAGTTTCCCGAGCAGGGCCTCCAGTCCGGATCTCACCTAGCTCTGCGGCCCGTCACTTATCTGATGAGAACATGAGGGCCTGGACTATTACCCAGAAAAGCGCTTTTCCAGACTGTTCTGCAGCCTGCAAGGCTCGGCCCAGGCCCGCGCGTCCCCAGCTACTGCGCCGCCCGCGCTGCTGCAGAGGCCGGAAAAGGCCGCCCGCCAGCACTCGCGCCACCCCCACTGCCCGCCGGGAGATACCACGCGGTCGACCCCTCCGGAAGCCCGAAAAGGTATCGTCCCCGGCCTCTGATTGGCCAGCGGGGATCGGGGGCGGGGCTTCCGGAGCCTGGTTCCGCGCGCCAGAGCCCGCGCGCCGCATTGCGAGCCGGGCTAGGAGCGGGCGCCATGGTGAGGAGTGGTTGTGGTGTGCGAGCCCGGCGTAGGCCGCGGTTTGGGCCTGGGTTTAGGCCTGGGTTCGGGCCTGAGCCCTGGCCGGACCTTGGGCCTGCCGTGGGGGTGGGGTCGGGCAGACGCGGGGGCCGCACTGACGCCGATGCCCCGGCTTCCCTTTCCAGGTGCTGCTGCACGTGCTGTTCGAGCACGCGGTCGGCTACACGCTGCTGGCGCTGAAGGAGGTGGAGGAGATCAGCCTGCTGCAGCCGCAGGTGCGTGGAAGCGGTGGGCTCGCGGGCCGCCACGACCCCAGCATGCACCGCGCGCTCCCACGTGGCCGACCGCACGCGTTGGGGTATGCCCTGAGCCGGGAAGCTCCTTTGCAGAGGGTCCTTGTCTTCCTTAGTGATAAGAATCGCCTTAGGATCATTTAGAATCCTCCCGTACCGCCGAATCAGAACCGGGATTTAGGGCCCATGATAGGTTCATTCCCTTAGGCGTTCAGTCAGGTCTTATGTATGGCCAGGGTTGAGAGCCGCCGCTTTACTGCGCCCTACAGGCAAGAGCGAAGGAAGGAAGACACTTACCCTTTCTCCCTTCCCTCCATCCCCCCCAGGTGGAGGAGTCCGTGCTCAATCTGGGCAAGTTCCACAACATCGTCCGTCTCGTGGCCTTTTGTCCCTTTGCCTCGTCCCAGGTTGCCTTGGAAAATGTCAACGCCGTGTCTGAAGGTGAGTAAGCTACCTCCAGGTATTTCAGGAAGATACGCCAGTAGGTAGGTCCTGCGATTGTCTAGTTCCTTTTCCTAGGGAGCTTGTGATAGTATTTGCCTTTCCTCGTCTAGTTTGTTCTAAATCTGAAATGTTTTGGGTAGTATTTGGTGTGTGCAGGATGTAATTTAGAGTAGTCTTAGCAGAGTTCAATATCTGGAGGATATGGTAGGCTAAATGTTATATTTCCAGCGTGCAGCCTTAGACCTCTTGGTCCCAGAAAGCAGGTTGGGAACTAATTATTTCCATGGTGCTCCAGGGTATGTCTTAAGCTTTCAGTTAAGCATTTCACACTTGTACTGTTGAACCTGAGTGCTGCTCTTCCCGTGGTTAATGCAGGCTTTGCAGTGATGACTTGAATCTGTCAATCCCCTGAGTGCAATCATTGATGTCTCTATGTCTCTGAGCAAAGCCGAAAGGGGAGGGATATAGGCACACCATCCCAGCATGCTCTGCTGGACCAGTGGTCTGTCAACAGTTGTAGTGACAGGATCACTTTTGTGATTTAAGCATTCTTCAGTCTGTTAGTGGGAGCTCTGTTTTTTGCCCTGAGGTATTGTTCATGAGGATCTCCGCCTGTTCTTGGAAACGTACCTGCCAACCAAAAAGAAGAAAGTACTCCTGGGGGTTGGGGACCCCAAGATTGGTGCTGCTATACAAGAGGAGTTAGGGTACAACTGCCAGACTGGAGGTGTGATAGCTGAGATTCTTCGAGGTGAGACCATCTGTTAACATGTATGCCATTCTTGACCTAATTGAGGAGGGTTCTGGAAACATTAGGGTGCCTAGGGTTGCTTCTGGGTAGCTGTCCTGCTTGGCTGTTGCCTGTGGGTGCAGGAGCTAGCTAAGAGCCTTTCCTTGCTCATAGTTTTACCCTCCTCCAGGAGTTCGTCTGCACTTCCACAACCTGGTGAAGGGCCTGACTGATGTGTCTGCTTGTAAAGCCCAGCTGGGGTTGGGACACAGCTATTCTCGGGCCAAAGTTAAGTTTAATGTGAACCGGGTGGACAATATGATTATACAGTCCATTAGCCTCCTGGACCAGCTGGATAAGGACATCAATACCTTCTCCATGCGTGTCAGGTAAGGGGAAGGATGGCCTAGCTCATTTTGGATCCTGAGATGAGGACTGGATCCTGTGGGCAGAACTATGTGGGGTGGGGCTGGGCCTCCTGGTGCTTACCACAGGCTGTGTTCTTACACTGACTGTACAGAAATAGGAGGCAGAGTAAACTTACCCCATATACACCTCAGCTCAGGCTCTTTGCTTGGTCTGTATTGTGAATGGGGAGACATTGAGTCAAGGAGGTTTGGGATCTGACTGGTTTTCACTTCCTCTGGGCAAAGACTAGGTGTGGCTATAGCTTTATCTGAGACATGGCAGCTCAGCCAGGGAGTGATTATGGCTCTTTGCAGGGAGTGGTATGGGTATCACTTTCCTGAGCTGGTGAAGATAATCAATGACAATGCTACCTACTGCCGAGTCGCTCAGTTCATTGGAAACCGAAAGGAGCTGAATGAAGAAAAGTTGGAGGAGCTGGAGGAGCTAACAATGGATGGGGCCAAAGCTAAGGCTATTCTGGACGCCTCGCGGTCCTCCATGGGTCAGTACAGAGCCTGGCAGCCAAAGTAAGGTATGGGACTGAATATCTGGCTCTTACGTTCCTCCTTGGTGTCCTTCAGGCATGGACATATCAGCCATTGACCTGATAAACATTGAAAGCTTCTCCAGTCGTGTGGTGTCTTTGTCAGAGTACCGCCAGAGTCTGCACACTTACCTGCGATCCAAGATGAGCCAAGTGGCCCCCAGCCTGTCAGCCTTAATTGGGGAAGCGGTGAGTCATGGGAAACAAAAATGGGGGGGATAAGGAATGTTACGGTGTATATATCCATACTGCTGTGTTTCTTGACCGACCATGTTTTCCCCATGCACTTGATAGGAAGAGGTAAGGCAGGATTGTGCAGCTGGTCGGTTGGCAAACCCAGCTTCTCTGACTAATTCCTTAAATCCTTCTCCAGGTAGGCGCACGTCTCATTGCTCATGCTGGCAGCCTCACCAACCTGGCCAAGTATCCAGCATCCACAGTGCAGATCCTTGGGGCTGAAAAGGCCCTGTTCAGGTACCAGTGAGGGCACCTGCCCGCACTCAGGTGCCACTTCTGGTGTCCACTACTTGTTTGGGGAATCACAGTGATGGCTAACCAGGGCATCCTGACCTATACAGGCCTCTGCTATGGGGGTGATGGCCTGTCCTGGTGTCTGAGTGATTCCCAGGGCCCAGCAAAGGGACCAAGTTTCCAGGTCAGCGACATTGGATGCCTTTTCTCTGCCTTGGGAGCTGTGGGTTGGCATGAGGTGGGATAGACCCACCCCAGCCTAAGGCTCACTCTGGAGTTTGAGGGAAAGGCGGGGGGAAGAGCTGCCTTGGCTAATAGGGTTGAAATTTCTGATCGTAAACTCTCCACTGAATATTCTTCTCCCAGAGCCCTGAAGACAAGGGGTAACACCCCAAAATATGGACTCATTTTCCACTCCACCTTCATTGGCCGAGCAGCTGCCAAGAACAAAGGCCGCATCTCCCGATACCTGGCAAACAAATGCAGTATTGCCTCGCGAATTGATTGCTTCTCTGGTATGGGTGAGGGAGTGGCATTTGTGAGAAGGGGCTGGGAGGGAGTGGGGAACTCAGTACCTTAGCTTCCACAATGATGGTAACATTTTTCGTCAACAGCAGTTCACCTAGTGAGTGTTGATACTTTGGGTCTGAGTGAAGCTGAGGGTAGAGGAAATACTGGGGATGAGGAGGAGTTTGTCCCTTTAGGAGCTGACAGGCTTTGTTTACCCACACACACACACATCCAGAGGTACCCACAAGTGTATTTGGGGAGAAGCTTCGAGAACAAGTGGAGGAGCGGCTATCCTTCTATGAGACTGGCGTGATTCCACGAAAGAATCTGGAGGTCATGAAGGAGGCAATGGTACAGGTCAGTTTGGGCTTTGCTGAGTGGGGCTTTGCATAGCTACCTGTTGGAGGTGATGAACTGTCTTAGCCTGACCTTGTAGAGTGGAGGCAAAAAAACTGATTTAATGAGCCTGATCCAATGAAGCCAGGAGGGAAACCTCTGTCAGTCCAGAGGTCTTCAGAGCCTTTCAGCACTTTTCTTTGGCCAGGCAGAGGAAGCGGCCGCCGAGATTACTAGAAAGCTGGAGAAACAGGAGAAGAAACGCTTGAAGAAGGAAAAGAAACGGCTGGCTGCAATTGCCCTTGCATCTCCAGAAAACAGCAGCAGTACACCAGAGGAGTGTGAGGTCAGTAGGCAGATCCTGAGTGAAAATTCTGGGCTGTAGGGTTTTCAACAGTAGAACAAAGGATGTGACCTCAAAGTCATAGTCTTGAGTCCAGGCCTTTGGACTGAAACAAGGACTTGAAACCTCTAAAACTGCCTCTTGATTCTATAGGAAGGAGATAGGTGCTGAGAGAACTTGTTCAAGAGCCCAGAGAGCTGGTTGTAGCACACTGGTTCCCTGGGCAAGTGTGTTCTGTCCTCGGCTGCCTGCCAGGAGTCCTCAACTGGGGGTAGTGTGAATTCCTGCTGTTTGTTCTTGATTCCCGGCTGTGTGTCTTCCCTGGGATTTTCATAGTGCCCAGTTTGTCAAACAGTATTTCAGGGTCCCCTCTGGAACTAGGCATGATGGTTTTATTGTGACCAACATGATGGGGTTTTCTCTTATGGGCTTAAGTAATTACATCTCTCCCCACCTTTAAGTGGGAGTCACCTTTGGGGCGGATTTCCAGAATTCTACCCATATAAAAACCATCCCAGAAACATTGGACAACTTTACAGCATTTCCACCAGTTTTTCTGCCCTACTTAATTGCTGGAACTCTAATGGGGTGGGGGCTGGGAGTGTTGATACAGTGAGTGACAGTTGCATGCCCATTTCCCCCTTTAGGAGACAAATGAAAAACCCAAAAAGAAGAAAAAGCAAAAGCTCCAGGAGACTCCTCAGGAGAATGGAACAGAAGACCCACCCGTTTCTTTACCCAAACCCAAGAAAAGGAAATCTTTTT